TGCCTTCTCCATCGCTGCCCCCTCCCTCTGGGGGGACAGAGCCTTCTCCATCGCTGCCCCCACCCTCTGCCTTCTCCATCGCTGCCCCCACCCTCTGGAACTCCCTTCCACAACACATCAGAGACTGCACCGACCCCCCCCCACTTTCAAAACAATGACCAAAACACACCTCTTCAGACTGGCTTTTAAATTTGTGAATTATGATGTGTTGCTGTTTTCATAATTTTTATTTGATCTCGTTCTATCACCATTGTAAAGCGTCTTTGAGCCCCTGGAAAAGCGCTTGGAAATTAAATGCATTATTATTATTATTATCTGTACAAAAGTATGTATATATACTTATCTTTACTTATAAAATTATTTTTCTTTAAGAATGTATTATTCTACCCCCTTTTCCCTTTAATTCACTTAATAAAATTTAAAAAATGTGCTTGTATTTTGAGAAATGTAGATCAAATGTACGGACACAACAAGTAAATAAATACAAAGTAAATAAAAACCACGTGTTAGTATAGGGGAAAAAGACCCAAGTGGGAAAAGCGGAGACGGGAAACACAAAGGAATATTTCTCTCTATGCCTTGATACATGTTTCTGAATACATGCAGCCGAAGCACACCTTGAGAAGTCCGAGCAGCACCAACAGAGACGATACGAAGCTGTAGCCTTGGAAGGACGGAGTGGCAAAAGCTTTCTTCAGAAGGGCATCTGTGAGGAGAAACAACACATCTTTATATTGCCAGTGTTTCGCACCAATGTCCTCTAAAAAAGACAATCACAGAAAAGGTGTGTGTTGTCAGCAAAGACTGTAAACACATTTGAATATCTTTAAACTCTTTACTTTAAAGGAACACCAATCAAATCAACTGAAGCAGACAACGTGTCTCACCGATGCTGTCCAACACGGCAATCTTAACGTCACTATTCTCCTCCTTATACACAGATGCGATCTTTAGGAAAGCTTCAGCTGTTTTTGAAGCATCGGATACATCCACCTGCACACACAGAAGAAAAGAAACACTCACTGAAGGCCACCGTGTTTTACAGAGTTGATAAAGCTCAACATATGTTTGTTTGAAACACGGGTCATTAGCAGTAATGTCTCTGAATATAACTCCACACAAAGACATTTCATTTAGCCTTCAGTCTCATTAACAGATCAGTGCATGGAAACTGGTGTGGAGGTTTTTGTGGATTCTGTGTTTACCTGCTGCTCGATCAGCAGCGCTCTCTTGGCTCCTAGTTTGAGCAGTTTGTCTGGAGACGGGAAGCTGAGGAAGGACGAGACGTCTGGAGGCCGGGGGGCTGAGGCAGGGGTGGACAACTGAGAGGGAGGGGAGAGAAAGTCAAATAAACAACAGCATCAAACGTCAGGGTGTATGCAGGAATCCTGAAGTCACATGTAATCCCTTTTAAGGCCTTTTCCATACATTTTAAGACCTCATCGCCACTTGGAGTTCTAACCGGTTACCTTGGCAACACACTTTACCTCACACATTGACTATATACAGTATTGATTGTCCTTCCTCCTTATCTTCCAACCATTTGGACGCAGACTTGCATTTCCCCATAACGATGTTGTTTAACAACCGGCGTAAACGGGCCTTTGTGTGCTATCAAGCAGTGAGCGTGCGATGTCCTGTTCAGATGACGTCAAATCCAACGGGATGCCATAAATAAACTACACAGAATCACACTACACACCTACGCAATGATTACATTCAGGCAGACTGTAGAATACAACCTCTTTGGAC